AATATTTTTATGAAAAAGTTACCAACCAGTTTTCTTTTGGTCAAATGTTAATAGGAAAAATTGCTTGAATATACTTTCTCACTTTGAGAATGGTGGATTCCATGTTAAGTATCTATATAAATCAATTACCACTCACATAACCTAACATGTCCGTATATAGCCTTTGGTTCGGTGTCACCGATTGACAATATCAAAGTTAAATGAATAGTTAATTAATTTATACAAGCCTCTCAGGTCAAAGGAAAATAAGTGTATTGTAATAAAACTACCTTTTAAACTGACAGTGATCATTCCATAGGTATTCTCAAAACCGATCTTATTCAATGCATGTACTTATTGCATAACACCCACCTATTTGCTTAAGGTCACTACCTCAATGATGGAGTTAATCATTCTATCATATAGCAGCAAAATAAGTATAGGCCATAGTAGTGCGACGCCCAATCAACACTCATAGCCTAGAACATTAATTGGGTCTACAAGGCACCGAAAAATCATAACTCCTAGCTTTTGGTTCATTAACAATTAGCATGTTTTTCTACAATGTTACCCAAAGGACCTTATGTTTATATCATATGTAACATTAAATATAACATTACCCATAATAATATACAAAATGCAAAATAGAATGCCAAGCAATTTTATATAATCAATTAATAAAGTCAACAAATTGATTTTTGAGGGCACAAATGCTAACAGACCCAACGGTCATCCGGGTGGTGGACGGGGTAGATGCCATCTAATGCAAATGTTGACTCTGGACATACAGGTGGACAACCACTGTATTGAATCAGTGATGCTACAACGGCTAAATTTTAAATTCAATGGCGCAACGGCTATCTGAGTCTTGCCCATACTTCAACGATCATATATGACATGGGTCGAAAACATTCTTAGAGATATTCTTCATTGTTTATCACACCCAACGGTAACAAGACAAGCAAGGAGCGGAGTACTGAACTCTGCTATATATATTGTGCTGTGTAGAGAAGAGTAAGCATAATGAAACAGAGCTATACACAGTCTTAATTCTTCATCAGTCTTCTATTCCTTGTTCTCTGAAATATTCTGCATTCTTATTTTTATTCTCCTTCAGAAAACATATTCTAAGCTTAAACTTTAGGCTTACCCACTTCTGAGAGTTATTACAGAATAACACTGAGCGATATAATTTTTGTATCTATCTTAAAGAGAGATTTACTCTAGCTTTCTTTGGAAGCAAAAATACTCATCACCATCTTGTAAGAGGTCACTAGCTGGCCTGTAAAGTTAGAAAATCAGTGGAGAATTGCTCCATGTGTATGAGGTTGCTAGCATTCCTGTAAAACTAGAAGATTGAAGAGTAGTGAAAAATCAAGTGAAACTTGGGGAGTGGATATGGAATTGGTTTAAACCGAACCACTATAAATCTTGTTTACCTTCTCCTACCTTAACTCTTTAATTTTCGTATTTATTGTGATATTTATGTGTTAATTATCTGCTAAATTAGTTGTTAATTTTATTGGATAATTATTATTTTTAATTTATAAAAGCCTTTTGGGTAACAGAATTTATTAAAAATTGTTTTTCATTGCAAGATGAAATATATTGATTTATTGGGTTAATTAATTATTGAACTATTGAAATTGATCTATGTTTATTTTTTAAAAATCCTCGAATGATGAAATTATTCTTTTGGTACTTTAATTACTAACCAAGTGTGTGTGAGTGAGACATTTTTAAAAATTATTGTGCTTTATTATATGGAGTAGAATATTTTGAATGTTTCGTAGGCTCCGTTTGGCAAGAGCTAAACGGGGCTTTTTTGGCTATTTTAGCCACAAAAGACAAAATAGGCTATTTTAGCCACAAAAAACAAAATATCACATCCAACTCATAATCATTACATTCTTCTCTCACAAAAAAAGTCAAAAAAGTCAAAAAACTAAAAAGTCCTTTCCAAACCAAACTTTTTAGCCCAAGCTAAAATAGCCAAAAAAGCCAAAAAGCCAACCCGCTTCCCAAACAGAGGCGTAACGCTGTCAATATGTTTTGGTACTATGTAATGGCGTATGAACATATGCTTGGACGTGCTATAAGTGGTAGGCGTACGAGATAAGTTGATAACTTGGAAGTGGCTTTATTGTGTTCTCAACATTGTTCTTATAACTCTATTAATGTGGCACGTAATTGTTTAGGTGTGTCACTAATTTAGTTGGCATAACAATGTTTAATTTAAGAGTTTACATATACATGATTTTGATTGCATCAATATACTTAATAAGTGAAATAAAGCGGTGAAAAAAACAGAGATGAGTAGCATTCTTTAAACTTTATATTGGAATATTATCCTTAAATTAGATTATTTAATTTGCATCATTGAAATATATAATTGTTAAATCATTAAAAAAATTATTCATTTTTTCTTTAATTTGCATTATAATTAGGGAGCGTCGTTTGTGTTGGGAGTGCCATTAAATACGAATGATTCACTAGTATATATATATATACAAAGAAAGAGAGGATAATCACATTCCTATAATCTAAACTCAGGTTCTAGTCCGAATACTGAACTGTCATTTTATTCACCACTATTTTTTTTTATCATTTCATTTCACTTCCTAATTATATTAAGGCAATCAAAGGCATATGTATGTGTAGGGTCGATATTATTTAATAAATAATAATATTGTGTGGGTGATTTTCCGACCACACTGCCCGCTTAGTAACCAGCTGGAAAGCACTGGCAGAATAGATGGCACCTGACGGACCTGCAACAGAAATATAAGAATCCCGTGGTGGTTTCGACCACCCGGGGGCACTCCGACGATCAAGTCAGTATATCTCTCAAAGATAATCAAGTACTAAACTCACAAGCTTGAGTATCAAAAGCATACCTCTGACCCATGGGGGTGCCTCTCTTTTATAGCCAATACAATCCTAGTCCCAATAGGAGCCTCGCCCTAATGAACTTAGGATTGCTGCTAACCTGGGACTCCCAGTGAGATTAGGATAAACTCTCTAAGAGTCTTATCTTTATCCAAACTGAAGTCTTCTCCCAATCTAAGACTCTTGTCTATATCCAAGTTGAGTTCCCTCTTCATTCTAGGACTCTTGTCCCTTATCCATTTATCTCGGATTCCGACATATTCGGAGATAACCTCGGCCTCACGACCAGGACATGTGGCACCTCGGCTAACACATCGGTGTGACCTTGCCATGTGTTGGTACTCAGAAAATATATCCCCACAAATATTAATTAAGTTAAATAGAAAATCATGTAGGGCGCAAATAGTTTTAGTACAATATTTTGGTGATATATAATATTTTTCTAATATTTATATTTATAATTATAAAAGTTACAACTTATACAAATTAACAATATTAAACCTTTTAATAATAGTGAAAATGTAAAAAATATAACTCTTTTAATCTTTTAACAATTTGATAAATTAAAAATGGCAAAATCATATAAAAATATATTTGAGATATTTCATGTATACATACATTGAGTTTAATTATTAATTTTTTTTTTCTGATTGTACTTAATGAAAATAAATGATTGAAAACAAATCAGATGTTAGAGTTTAAATTAATAAAATAAAAAACTAAGAATTTATTTTATTATAAGTCTCAAAATCTTGAGATTTTTTTTGTAATAATAATTGTCACTTGAAAAAATGAAAAAAGACACACAAAAACAAGGATACATTGCAAATATACTTTTTGAGGTGTGGTTAAAATACAGATTACCATATGTGTTTATGAAATTACATCATGTCCGAAGTTTCTAATTGCAAAACATTTTTTATTAATAAATCATTAAGTTAATTAATAATTTTTAATGATATCATAAATATATTTTAATTAACAATTCAGATAATTTTATTATTCTACAAGAGAATAGTTAGATAGTTTATTTTTTTCTGTTAATTATGTTAAATAAAAAATTTTGACAATATAATATTTGTAATTTCTAGAATCACAAAGAACAATCATTATTTTAAGCAAATCTCATGTGGTATATTTGTAATTTACTTTAAAAAATTAATAAAAAGAAAAAAAATTCAAAATTCACCTAAATTAGTATTTATATTTTGCGTTTATTCAATGTTTCTACAATTTTTTAATAAATAAATAAAAAAAAACAACTAAATTTAATCTATGGTCTATTTGAAAATTGATTATTTTAATTAATTTTTAATTTTTTTATAAAAAAAATACAAAAATAAAAAAAAATAATTTGACAATCAATCATCTTGGTTTTGACTTTTTAAAAATAATTCTTTTGAGTTTTCAATTCATATTTTTGTAAATTTAATGATTTTTTTAATATGTAATCAACTTTTTAAAAACTTTTTGATCCACTTAATCTTAATACAATATATTTAAAAAGTTATAAAAAATTATTGAATATAAAAAATATGAAAATTTATTGAATTTTTAGTTGGTAAATTTAAAAAAAAAATTCAAATATTATACTTTTTAAATATATTTAGATTAGGTGCATCTACAAATTTTAAAAAATTACGTAAAATATTAAAAAAATATAAAAGATAAAAACTCAATTTTCTAAACCAAATATGATGAATAAGTCTATGTACACAGAAGTCATATACTATCTCATATGGAGTTTTGTGAGACATTTATGTGCTCGTTTGACATGTAAGAGTTGATAGGTTTTTTTTTTTTTTTTTTTTTGTCAAATAAAAACAAAACAAATATTAAAAGTCAATAAGATAAAAAATATTACATCAAAATTATAATTTTTTTTTTTTACAAAAATTAAAAAATTTATTAAAAATAAGACTTTTTAACATCAAGCTAAAATAATTTTAAAAAAAACAAAAAAATTAAAAAAACTAATACACATTCCAAACGAAACTATATGGTCAATGAATAATAACTTTTTCACCTTTTAATTAAAAACTCTTTGATTCTCAAACAAGGCCTAAAGTAAGCATTTTACCAAACAAGCCCTAGTTGGGGTATCTGTGTGGGTGTTTACTTGGCGAATAAAATCAAATCATTTCCTGGCGTACTCCTCAGTCTGTGCAAAAGGGTTAGAAAATCTTGAAAGAGAGAGAGGGAGAGAGAGCGTGTGTCTACGTGTAGAGAGAGAGAGAGCTCAGAGAGATCAGGAATCCAGGTCATTCGTCATGTTTCCCCCTAACAATCAGGTATGTCTTTCTCACTCTTCGTTAGGGTTTAGCATTCCTTGTTCTGAGTTCTTCAAATTTTAATTTTAGAGAAAAACAGAAATGTGTTTTTTTTTTTTTTTTTTTTTTTTATATATATACATGCATCTTTGATAAATTTGTATTTGTATATGAGATATGGTTTGCGATCCCTGTACTTATCTGCATTAGATTTTCTTTTTGAAGAAAAAATTCTGATTTGTGTAACCGGTAATTTAGGAGTGATTTTATGTTGGTTTTTTTTTTTTAATTTATTTTTAAAGGAATATAATTTTTTTAGTTTAGCATTTTTGAAATGTGGTATGATTGTTTACTGGGTTTTAGGGTTACACTCAGAATTATATATGGAAAAAAAATTGGTACTTTGGAGAAGTGGTTTTAGCGAGATTTGAAGGTATTGAAGGCCCTGTTTATTATCCTGGGAATGAGTTTTTATAATAAAAAAATTAAAAATTAAAAATTGGTACTGGTGGTGCTTTGGAGAAGTTGTTTTGGTGAGATTTGAAGGGATGGAAAGCCATGTTTTGTTATTCTGGGAATGAGATTTTAGAGATGGTCTAAAACGGGTGTTATCCATGTGTTGAGTGTTGACTATTTTGGACAAGACCATCTGCATTGCAATCTAAAGGAGAACAAGATTTCGTTTGGTTCAGTTTTCACAAATTAGTTTGATGAAATAAATATATATAGCCTCCGTTTGGGAAGTGGGTTGGCTTTTTGGCTTTTTGGCTTTTTTGGCTATTTTAGCCTGGGCTTAAAAGCTTGGTTTGGGAAGGGCTTTTTGGCTTTTTGGCTTTTTTGAGTTTTTTTGTGAGAGAAGAATGTAATGATTATGGGTTGGATGTGATGTTTTGTTTGTTATGGCTAAAATAGCCTATTTTGTTTTTTGTGGCTAAAATAGTCAAAAAAAGCCTGCAAATCCACTTGCCAAACACAGGCATATATATATATATATATATTTTTAAAAAGGCTCATTCGTTTATACAATTTCCTCTATTTTGGGCCAGAACTAATTTTTTAAAATTCCTTTTTTGCTGTTTATTTTTATCAAGCTAGTTTCTAATTTTGTTTTTTAAAAAAATCCAATTTTTTTTTTATTTGAGAACTCAACCAAACAGTGTTAAAAAAAAAAAAAGAAAAAAGAAAAAAAAGAAGCTGAAAAAGAACAAAAATTATCAACTATTTACTACCTCACCCGGATGAGTCAAGGTCATGATTACGTCAACTTAGTGCAACCTTGCACTAAGAAGCATGAATACGGACATGGACACAGATATGTACACGACGATTTCAAAAAAATAGGGACACGGACACGGTGGAACACGGCAATAAAATATATTTTCATGTATTTTTATTTGCTATTTAGATTAATATTACATCCACAAACAATCAATATTAACAAAAATTAACTCTAATTTTATTTTTTATTTAAAAAAATACTTTTAAATTAAGACTTACAATTTATATATTTTTTTATGAATGATCTATTAATTTTTTAAATGTAAGAAAAAAATAATAAACATTCAACATTTATCAAAAATACTAAATAAAGTAGGAAAAAGGACAACTTGACAGTTCCTAGAGTGTCCCCTGCATGTTTCCTAAAAATAAATTAATTAAATACGGGGACACGATATGGTGCATCCCATACGTGTCTCCAAAGTGTCCGTGCTTCATAGGCCTTGCATAAAGAAGTGTTGATGTAAGTTGCAAAGAAGAAAGAATGCTTTTGCATAAACATCTCGATTGAGTACCTTGAGAGCTTAATTGCCTTCACCTTATGTCTCAAGTCGAGGGTAACTTGTGTAATGGACTCAATAGGCCAACAGCCTTTTAAACAACATCTTGACTTTTTCATCCCAATGAGGGAGGGACTACCTCGACTTCATCATCCTAATCAAAAGAGACTGAATGTGTCTTGGGTATCCATAGAGAATATGACACGACTCACGAGCACTGCCACCAGCTTTCCCAAAATAAGGGGATATTTGCTGCTTATTGCTCTTGGAAACATTAGATCTATACTAATACTTCATTCAAGTTGTCCATGTATCATTATGATCTCCTTTGATATAATATTTATATCACAGGATTAGTCCCCGTTACACTGGGGTGAAGGAGGAGGGTTGTGTGTTAGGTAGCTGACAACCAACACGTAAAAAAGCGTCTCGGATCCCTTATGACAATAAATCCTACTTTGAATCGTTTAAATGCTAGATCGTTACCCTCAAGTGACGCATTGCACCTGCCTCCGGGTGTTTCGAAAAGTGAGCAAGAGGCGCCGCATCGACGCCTGGTTGCAGTGAAAAATTGGCAAAGGTTCTCGCGTTTTTCTGGACGAGCGTGAGTAAAGAAACTAGTCCAACACTATAGGTTTAGGGAATCCACTTGGAATATAGGAACCTTAACTGGTAAGACGATAGAGTTAGTAGATGTTATGATTAGGAGGAGAGTTAGTATAGCTTGCGTACAAGAAACTAAGTGGACGGGTGAGAAGGCGAGGGAAATTGAGGATACCGGTTTTAAACTGTATTATAGTGGTAAGGATAGACGCAGGAATGGGGGTAGGAATCTTAATTGTCAAGGGTCTTGTGGAGAATGTAGTGGCGGTCAGTAGAAAATGGGATAGGATTATGTTAGTTAAACTAATTATTGGAGGGAATATTAGTGCATACGCCCCTCAAGTAGGATTAGATGATCAGACTAAGAGGGATTTTTGGAAGCAAATGGATGAAATCTTACAGGAGATACCCGTAGGAGAGAACCTGATTATAGGTGGAGATTTTAATGGCATGTAGGCATAGATAAACTAGGCTATGAAATGGTGCATGGTGGATACGGTTTTGGTGACAGAAATGAGGCTGGAGAGACTATTTTAGATTTTGCGTTGGCTTCTGACCCGGTGGTGGCCAATACTATGTATAAGAAAAGGGAAGAGCATTTGATAACCTTTAAGAGTGGGTCAGTTAAGAGCCAAATAGATTACTTTTTAGTGAGAAAAGTGGACTGCCTAAAATGCAATGATTGTAAGGTGATTCCTGGAGAGAGCCTGAGCTCTCAACATAGGATTTTGGTACTAGATTTATGTTTTAGAGGGCAATACCAAGCTAGGAAGGATGGTGAGCGTCGTAGGACGAGATGGTGGGACCTAAAAGGAGATAAATTAGAAATATTTAAGAATAGAATGGATAATGAAGGTACTTGGGCCTTGGAAGATGATGCTAACACTATGTGGAACTCAATGGCCAATTGTATGAGGAGAATCTCAAGGGAAGTGCTTGGAGAGTCGAAAGGAACGGGACCCAGCTCTAGGAAAACTTGGTGGTGGAGGGAAGAGGTTCAAGCGGTAGTTAAGGCAAAAAAATAGTGCTTTAAAAGGTGGCAAAAGGATAGAATTGAGGAAAACTTTAGGAGCTATAGATTGGCTAATAAGGAGGTCGAGAAAGTAGTGACAGGGGCTAAATTGGAAACTTATGATGGTCTATATACTAGACTAGACAGTAAGGAGAGAGAGAAGAGGGTATACAAACTTGCTAAGATATGGGAGAGAAAAACAAGAGATTTTAATCAAGTTAAGTGCATCAAGAGTGAGGATTCTAAGGTATTGGTGAAGGATGAAGAGATTAAGGAAAGATGGAAGAACTATTTTGAGAAACTATTAAATAAGGAACATGGAGGTA